AAAAAAAAAAAAAGGGAGAGAATGTGATCAGGCAGGAGACTATAACAAACCCATACACTAGAGATTTAGGGTATATTTTGGTCTGTTAGAAGAAACTGTATCCCAAAATTTTAGAGAGAGAACAACTTATATATATATCAAAAGTAAGGTTAACTACAATGAAGGGATAGAATATGGCTCTAAAAATGAAAAATAAAAAAGATTTTAAAAAAAGGGATTGATAAGATGTTCGTTGAAAAAGGGAAAAAGAAAAATTTAAAAAAATAGAAAAAGAAAAAAATTAAAAAAATTAACTTTGAAAAACTAAAGAATCATGGGGGGAAAAAAAACCATGAATTCTATGAGCTGTATTCCCGTAGTGCTGGAGTTCTGCGGTTCTCGTTGATCCGTAAACTCGGTCTTGGCTGTCTGTTCTTGCTGATCTTCTGGGGGAGGAGCCTGTTGCCTTGGTTCTCAAATGTCTTTGCAGGTGGTGGAACTGCCTCGCCCTTGCCGGGATGGGGCTAAGTAATCTGCTCGGGTTTGCTCTTGGGTAGCTTTTGTTCCCTGCAAGCTTTCTGTAGAGCTTTGGAGGACAAGAGTGAAAATGGCGGCCTCCCAAGCCGAAAACTCCCAAGCCGAGAACTTGGGGCCCCACTCCTCAGTGCGCCCCCAGAGAAAAGCAGTCAATCACTCCCATCTCCCTGGTTTCCGGCGCACTCCGTGCTCACCTGGCCTGTGACCAAGCCTTTCTCTCTCTGGCGCATGATCCCGTGTGGAGTCTCCAAACCCAGCAGATCCCTGCGGTGCACTCCCGCGCCACTCCTCTCGGGGGAGGAAGGGGAGTCTCCCCGGATCTGCCGCTTGTTGGGTCCCTGCTGGAAGAGCGGTGGCCCGACTGTGCCACAGATACGGTTTATGGCAACACCGAGCTGAGAGCCCGCTCCTCGGCTCTGTCTCTGCAGCCGGCTTCCCCGCTCTGATACCTGGGAGCTCTGCCGCACTCAGGCACCCCCCCCCCCATCTTTCTGTGACCCTGAGGGTCTTGAGACCACACTGTCCCAGGGAGGATTCCACCCCCTGCTTAGCCACTGGAGCGACCTCCCTCAGCGGAGCTGACTTCTAAAAGTTCTGATTTTGTGCTCCCTGGCTCTATTGCTTGCCGGTATGGGCTGATGGAGGCTCCCCCTCCCGTCTGTCTTCCTGAATATTGCCTTGGATTCACTTCTCCGCACGTCCTACCTTCCAGAAAGTGGTTGCTTTTCCGTTCATAGAATTGCTGCTATTCTTTTCTTCGATCTCCTGTTGAGTTTGTAGGTATTCAGAATGGTTTGATAACTAGCTGAATTCCTAGGACCAGATGAAATTTAGATCTACTCCTCTGCCGTCTTTCTCCTCCCTCTCCTGTATTGTATATTTGAAAGTTGCTAAGAGAGTAGATCTAAATGTTCTCATCACAAGAAAAGATTTGTTAACTATGCTAGGTGATAAATGTTAACTAATTTTATTGTGGTAATCATTTTACAATATATATGTATATCAAATCATTGTGTTATATACCTTAAAGTAATACAATATGTCAATTATATCTCAATAAAATTGGGAAGAAAGAAATGGAACAAGTGAGTTTGGTGACTCGAATGTTGAATGGTGTAAGGTTAAGAAAGCCTATTGTCTCCCAGTTTGAATAAATTATTGGTCTTAAGGTCTTGAAAGCAGAAGACCAGATTGAGATTCATCTGGCTTTCTCTCTTTAGATGACACTCCTATACTGGACCTAGCTTCATTCATTTTATTTTATTTGTCTTTACTGTACTCATCCACTTTTAAAAATGACTCAAAAAATGTACAAATAAGTTAGTTTTGAGTACTGATAGAAAGGATTCCAATTCAGTGCACTTCTACCCCTATAGGTATTCAAATGATATAAAATAGTATGGTGAAATTTCCCTGAAAAAAATTAGTCCCATGACTGTCCTTGAAAAGTATAAAGAGTAGTACTGTAATAAGAAATGGAAGGGCAAGGTAAAGTGTGCAGTATAACAATTTTCACACTTTTCCTCTCAGTAATTCAGATGGTTCAGAAGAATAAGCCAAAAGTTGATTGATGGGGGGGGGGCATGTCCCAAAGTGGCTCAGTGCAAACAAAACATTTTTGTCTTAATTTTAGCTTAAAAATCTATGGGGGGAAGTCATGGGTAATTTGTCTTCTTAACCATAATATTTGCATATAGGTATGGGTACTCAGTACGTAGAAATATAGTGAATAAAAATTCATTTTTGACTTTTTTGTTTGGAAAAAGATTTCTGGTTTTGAGTAAATGCCCTCATCTCTTTATATGTTGCTCATGTACTGTCATTTCCAGAAGTGGATCTTGATGGGTCACACTCCTAGAAACACAGAGTTATAGGTTACTTAGGTGAGAATTAAATGAGATAATAGATGAAGATCACCTTACAACGCATAATATGCCACATTAAGAGTGAGGGTTTTTGTTTGTTTTCGTTTTTGTTTTTAAATCTTAGTGTTCTTTACAACTTAAGTTCTCTCAGAATTGGGTTTTATGCCCAAGTAAAAAATTATTAGGGGAGAAAATGTTAAGATGTAGGGCAGGAGGCTTCTTGGCTTAGACTTCCTTTGACATGATTAGGATCAGATACAACAAAGTTAACTAACCATTGGTATAATTGATGCCCTTGCAGGAGGGAGCACTGGCAGCTGCTGGGTAATTTGAAGACTACCGTGGAGGGTTTGGTGTCAGCCAACAGTCCCAACGTCTGGTCCAAGTATGGTGGCCTGGAACGGCTTTGCAGGGACATGCAGAGCATCCTCTATCATGGGCTCATCCATGACCAGGTATGTAAACCTCTTCTTTTTTGCCAGATTAACTGTACCACTTGTTGGAAAGAAACAGTTGCATTAAGTTGTTGGCAGGGAGAAGATGAAGGCCACTAGTCTGTGAGCCCTTGAGGGTAGAACTGTAATATGATGATGAGGAAGAGGACAATAAGGACAATGATGATGAATCACTAGGATTTTTCTCTTAGGAGCACCTTAGGGCACATCTGAGAAGTATTTACAGAATATTGTCATTTTTAGAATATCCTCAGCATCATTTTGTAGATAACTGGTTGATTCTTGGGAATGGTAGTTTTAGTTATAGCTTAATTTTTTAAAATATAAACTTTATTGATATTGAGTTTCTTTTCTGTAATATCCTCAAACACTCTAATAAACTTTGAGTATTGATAAGGAGTGAAATGTAATAATACTTAATGGTTTTTGCTTCATCTTTGGCAATTACTCCATTTGCAGTGTTTTAAATAAGGTTCAGATCTGGATAAAATTGTCAAGTGAGTCATTGGCTCTGGTATCCTCCTACTTTAAAAAATCAGACCTCACAAATATGTGCATAATCCTGTGTTCCCAAACACTCATGTTCATCCCATGTCAGGGTCTAGTATTCTTCCCTGGAACTCTCTCTCTTGAGCCAAGCTTGTCTTTTTCTTTTTTAATCAGAACTTATTCTCAACTAGACTAGCAGTCACATTGAAAAAGAGCTAATCAAATAATTGGCATTAAGGTGTTCACAGTTGATAGGATTTAATATGCTACCCTCCCTTCTAAAAATATGTGTATATTACTTCTGAACAGTATCTTCAAACTAACGTTCCTATTGGATATTTTCAGAATTCAATGGAGAAGTTGGCTTAGGTTAGATTTTCTTTATTCAGAATAAGTTCTGAAAGTGAGGGTCTCTCAAAGAGTTTCTTAATGGTTATTGTTATTCAAACACCATTCTGGGAATTTGGAGGCAGCATTGTGTGGTACACTGATAAAAGACTTTGGAATCAGATAGAACCTAGATTGAAATCTAGACTCATTGCTCAGGTCCTTGGGAAAAAAAAATGAAATAGTAGTTACCGTTATAGACTTCTGAGTTGGACTGCTCATATTTTAATCCCAGCTTCAGCACTGGGTAGTATTAGGTAAGTTACTGCTTTATGCCTCTGTTTACTCATTTGTAAAATAATCATAGGATTATTGGGAGAATTAAATGAGGTAATATACATGAAAAGCTTTAAAATACATAAGAAGTTGACAGTTGATCTTAACTATTAGGCAATATTAATTTTTTGAGGCTTGTTTTTCTCATCTATAAAAATGAGGATAGTGTTATTTATATCATAATGTTTGATGGAAAGATGAAATGAAATAGCATACAAATTTGCCTAGTGCAGTTTGTGGCACATAGGAAATAATAATTGTTTCTTTCATTTTTTTAAGTTTCAAGTTACATGTAGTCCTATGGAAAAAAAAATAGTTATGAAGACTGGAATTTATAGAACAAATAAGTCCACCCACGGCAATCTGGTTTTTGCCCATACCACTGGTGATCTTGCTACTGAAATTTAAGTAAAATCATGTCCATGTTACCAGATCCATGAACATTTCTTCTCCTTTGAACACTGTCTTATGTTCTTCACTGTTGACCATCATCACACCTTGACTTACTTGTACGGCATTATGATATTTTTTTTTTTAAAGATTTTATTTATTTGACGAAGAGAGAGACAGTGAGAGAGGGAACACAAGCAGGGGAAATGGGAGAGGGAGAAGCAGGCTTCTCGCTGAGCAGGGAGCCTGATGCGGGGCTTGATCGCAGGGCCCTGGGATCATGACCTGAGCTGAAGGCAGACACATAACCGACTGAGCCACCCAGGCACCCAGGCATTATTATCTTCTAATGTCATAGAGTTCTCCACCCTCTGTGACCATTCCTTCTTAGTTTCTTTCCCTGGAATCTCTTCTTTTTGGATTTTAGCATTTAATGGGATTTTGTCCTATGTCCTTATCTCTTCTTACTTTGTACATTTTCCTGAAACAGCCTCATCCACTCCCGTTGTTTTAACTATCACCTATGTACTGAAGCCCCCCAGCTCAGACACCTCTGCTGAACTCCAGATCTATAAGACTAGCTGTCTGCTATACATTATGATATAGCTGTCTGTCATACAGGCCAAGCATAACATGACCCAAAACAAACTTATTTTCCTCATGAGATTGCCCTTCCTCCTATTTTTAACACTAATTTGTGGCATTGCCAGCTACTCAGTCTCCCAAGCCAGAAACTTGGGAATCATGCCACATGTACAAAAACTCAACACAAGTTTCCCAGGCTGATGACCAAAATAACTACTAGATTAGTATCACTACCATTTAGTGGTTAAGCACTTGCATCTTGATAGCAAAAAGGTTCTTTTCTTGGCTCTGTTACTAATTTTACATTGTCATCTAGAGTAATGACTTCACCATATTACAAGGCAGTTTTCTCATCTGTGCCAGAAAGAGAAAATGTCATAATGAAATAGTAAAGTCAATGGGATTCCAAATGAAGGATGTGTGGTAAATGCAAAACAATGTTAATGTATATCGTTAGAATTATTAGTGAATGATATCTGTGAAAGCATGTGGTTATCAGAATGAAAAATATTAAAGTATAAGGTCATCTGCAAAATAGCAGTAGTGTTCATAAGTGAAAACAGAATAAACCTTGCAAATCTGTCATACACACACTTTTCAACTACAGGCTGTAATGGAAAGAATCATAACCAGAAGATCCATACCACTTTCACTGCTGCTCTGTTCTGCCTTGTGAAGATCTAACAATTAATGTCTGTGTCAAGGATTTCTTTTTCCCTTTGATTTCCTCCCTAAAGATTAAGGCTTTCAAAGGCTTCTGGGTGCTGCGTCATCAGGAAGCTATTCTGGGTGTTGTGCCCTTGGAGAGGGGGAAGGGATACAGTGATTCATGCTGGTCATATCTATTCTGTGCTTTCACGAGGATGTGTTGTGGAATGTGAACTTTATTTTTTTAAATCACTCAGGACCTTATGAAAGCTATAACATCATGACCATATTTTTAGAGGGATCTCATTTTCCCTGACAGCCTGCATCAGGGCTACCTTTTAGTTTTCCCATTAGGCAAGGCATATTTGATCTTTTCTTTTCTACTGCTTAGAAATATGGAGACACTCCGTCTCTAAGATTCCTCAGCTGAATAGGAGAAATAAAAAGATTCTCCTCTTTTCCACCACCAAGAAGAAACCTCTTCTTGGCAATATAGGTGGCCCAATTTAAAAAATAACAATAACAACACAAAAGACCTCTGTGTATTTCTTTTTCTGAATATATGTTATATATTTTTATTTGTTAAAAATTTGGAAAATACCGAAAAAGAATTTGAAGAAAGTAAATATCACCCTCAAGTCAACACCAAGTATTATTGCTCTTTAACATTTTGGTAGATCTTATTTTTTTTCTATGCATTTAATGTGCTTTTTAAAATATTAAGATTGTACTGTATATATCATTCTGTAACTTGCTTTAAAATATTTAATTTTTTAAATAATACATTTTATATATTTAATTTTTTAAATAAACAATACATTTATATGGTTTAAAAAAGCATATAACTATATTCAGTGAAATATCTTGTTTCCTTCCAGTCCTGTAGTTAACTGCTGTTTACCAGTTTCTTTCCAGAGAATTTTTATGTTTATAAAAGATTTTATGAATACTTTTCTTTGCTACACTTCTTGATTTTTCATACAAATAAAAGCATGCTATAATTACTATTCTGCACCTTGGTTTTTTCACTTGGTATGTCTTGTGATTCATTCCAAATCATTACATAAAGTGCTTTTTCTTTTTTACAGCTGTCATTTTATAATATTCCATTGTATGTACCATAATTTATGTAACCAGTCCCCTGGTAATGGACCTTTAGATTACTTCAAGTTGTTTACAGTTAGTAACAGTGCTACGGTGAATAAACCTTGTGTATAGGTCATTTTGCCCTTTACCATAGGATATTCCTAGAAGTAGAATTTTTAGGCTAAAGGGTATGTGCATTTCAATTTGGATAGATACTGCTAAATTGCCCTCCAGGAAGTTATGTCTATTTACATCCTCACCAACAATGTATAAGAGTATTTGCTTCTCCATACCCATGTCAGTATAGGGTGTTACTAAACTGTAAACTATCACCAATATGATATTAAAAATTTACATTTCTCTTATTATGAAAGATGTTTATGAGAGCTTATTTTCTATGAACTTTTTCCTATTTTCCCCCATTTTCCTTAGATTGTTAGTCTTTTCCTATGGGTTTGTAAGAGTTCTTTATTAGTGGAATTAATCCTTTGTCTGTAATGTGAATTGCAAATATTTTCTCCTGGTTTGTCTTTTGCCATTTCATATGATGGCTTTTATATGTAGAAATATCTGATGGGGGGAGCAAAGGGAGAGGGAGAGAGAATCTTTTATTTATTTTGAGAGAGAGCACACACATGCACTCGTGGTGGGGAGGTGCAGAGGGAGAGAGAGAATCTCAAGCCGACTCCCCACTGAGCATACACACATGGGGATTGATCTCACAATCTTGAGATCATAACCTGAGCTGTAATCAAGAGTTGGGCACTTAACCGACTGAGCCACCCGGGTGCCCCTCTGATTTTTAGTAAGTCAAACTGATCATTTCTTTCAGGGCTTCTGGGCTCTGTATGATGCTCTGAAAGGGCTTCCCCACTGTACAGTTATTACAAACGTTTCTCCCTGGTTTCTTCTATTAATGGCTAAATTTTTTACATTTAAACCATTTCATCTGTAATTTATTTTGAAGATACTTAATGCCCTTGGCACACAGATCTAATTCTGGTTTTTTATTATTGTCTGTTGTCTATTTTGTGTCATCTCTGCTCAGTTTTAATTATTGTAGCTTTTCATTATGGTAGGAATAGCCCCTCACTTGTACAGCATTTTTTTTTTTTAAAGATTTTATTTATTTATTTGACAGAGACAGAGACAGCAAGAGCAGGAACACAAGCAGTGGGACTGGGAGAGGGAGAAGCAGGATTCCCCCCGAGGAAGGAGCCCAATGTGGGACTCGATCCCAGGACCCTGGGATCATGACCTGAGCCGAAGGCAGACATTTAACGACTGAGCCACTCAGGCGCCCTGTACAGCATCTTCTGTTGTTGATTTTTTTCCCCTGACATTCAAACATTTGTCATTTTATTTACGCCTTAACTGCTTCATCATTTTTTGGATAAGGACAGGAAAACCTTCTTATACAACGTGATCTGAATCATTTTCTGATCAAATGAGGGCAATTAAGGAGTCATTCAAACATTTTATTTTATTTTAAAACATTTAAAATTACGTTTGTTCAACAATCTTTGGCTATAGGGCCAAAACCTTTTCTGGGAGTATGGATCCACTGATGGAGTTTCATGTCATCTTTCTTGAATAAATTGCACCCATAATACATGATACAGGACTTCCAGTTTTAATTTCTTTATACTGGACTAGCAGTTTAAAGATCCAGTAATCTGAGTATAAAACCTACATTTTTAGTTTTTTTTCCTTCTAACTATGAAAGTTGTCTTGCCTCTACATAGTTTGACATCAAGTTTTTATAGAAGTTTTTTTGTGGGCATAAATCTTCAGGTCCTTTGGTTAAATACCAAGGAATGTAATTGCTGGATCCTATGGTAAGAGTATATTTAGTTTTGTAAGAAACTGCCAAACTGTCTTCCAAAGTAGCTATACCATTTTGCATTGTCACCAGCAATGAATGAGAGTTCCTTTTGCTCCACATCCTTATCAGCATTTAATGTTGGTATTGTTTTGGATTTTGGCTGTTCTAATGTAAGTATATAGTGGTACTGTGTTGTTTTAATTTGCATCTCCCTGATGATATATCATGTGGCATATCTTTTCATGTGCTTGTTTGTCTTCTGTATATCTTCTTTGGCAAGGTGTCTGTTAAGGTCTTTGGCCCATTTTTTAAGTCAGATTGTTTGTTTTCTCATTGTGTTTTAAGAGTTCTTCATATATTTTGGATAACATTCCTTTATCATATGTGGCTTTGCAAGTATTTTCTCCCAGTTCATGATTTGTCTTTTCTTTCTCTTGACATTGCTGGTCACAGAGCAGAAGTGTTTAATTTTAGTGAAGTCTAGCTTATCAGTTCTTTGTTTCGTGGATCATGTTTTTGGTCTTGTATCAAAAAAGTCATCACCATACCCAAGGCCATCTAGGTTTCTTCCTATGTTATCTTCTAGAAGATTTATAGTTTTGCATTTTACATTTAGGTCTATGACTTATTTTGACTTAATTTTTGTGACAAGTGTAAGGTCTGTGTCTAGATTCATTTTTTTTGCATGTGGATGTCCAGTATTTCAGCACCATGTTGAAAAGACTATAATTGCTCCATTGTATTGCCTTTGCTCCCTTGTCAAAGATTAGTTGATTTTATTTATGTGTGTCTGTTTCTGAGCTCTCTATTCTGTTTCACTGATCTGTTTGTCTATTTATTCCCCAGTACTACATTGCCTTGATTACTGTGCCTTTATAGTAAGTCTTCAAGTCAGATAGTGTAAGTCCTTTTTGAAGAAAAACTTTGCTCTTGTCTTTCAATATTGTTTTAGCTATTCTGGGTCTTTTGCTTCTCCATATAAACCTAACAATGAGTTTGTTGATATCCAGAAAATAACTTGCTAGGATTTTGATTGGATTATATTGAATCTATAGATCAAGTTGGGAAGAACTGACATTTGACAATATTGAGTCTTCCTATCCATGAATATGGATTATCTCTGTATTTATTTGGTTCTTTGCTATCTTTCGTCAGTGTTTTATAGTTTTCCTCATGTAGATCTTGTACATGATTGTACAAGATCTCATGTACATCATGTACATCTAAATACTTAGATTTATATCTAAGTATTTCATTTTCGGGAGTTTTTATTTTCAAATTCCACTTGCTCATTGCTGATATATAGGAAAGTCGTTCGTTTTTCAAATTAACCTTGCATCCTATGACCTTGCTATAATCACTTACTAGTTCCAGGAACTTTTTTGTTGATTTTTTAGAATTTTCTACTTAGATGATTATGTCATCTGTGAACAAAAGCGGTTTTATTTCTTCCTTCCCGGTCTGTATGCCTTTTCTTTTCCTTTTCTTTTTTTCTTCTTATTGCATTAGCTAGGGCTTCCAGTAAGATGTTAAAAAGTTGTGGGAAGAGGAGACATCTTTGCTTTGTTCCCGATCTTAGTGGGAAAGCTTTGAGCTTCTTACCATTAAGTATGATGATAGCTGTAGGTTTTTGTAGATGTTCTTTATCAATTTGAAGAAGTTCCCCCTCTATTCCTAGTTTACTGAGAGTTTTTATTATAAATGGGTGTTGAGTTTTGTCAGATGCTTTTTCTGCATCTATTGATATGATCATATGATTTTTTTTTCTTATTTGGCTGTTGATGTGATAAATTCCATCACATTCCATTGATGTGATTTGATGTGTTGATTTTGGAATGTTGAACCAGCCTTGTATACTTGGTGTAATTATGGTGTACAATTATTTCTATACAATGTTGGATCTGATTTGCTAATATTTTGTTGAGGATTTTTGCGCCTGTGTTCATGAGAGATATTGGTCCATAGTTTTCTTGTGATGTTTTTTTCTGGTCTTGGTGTTCGGATAATGCTGGCCTCACAGAATGATTTGGGGAAGTATTTTCCTCTGCTTCTGTTTTCTTAAAGGCATTATAGGGAATTGGTATAAATAAGTGTTTAGTAGAATTCACCAGAGAACCCATCTAGGCCTGGTGCTTTTGGTTTTGAAAAGTTATTAATTGTTGATTACATTTTTCTTAGGAGGCATAAGCCTACTCAGATTATCTAATTCTTCCTGGTAATATTTGGCAGATCGTATCTTTCAAGGAATTGGTCTATTTCACCTAGGTTGTCACACTAGTGAGCATAGAGTTGTTTATAGTATTCCTCTGTAATGTCCATGATATCTATAGTGATGTCCCTAATTTGATTTCTGAGTTAGCCTAGAATTTTGCCTAAAGAAAGGAAACCAAGTTTAGATCCTATTCACGTAGATGTAACTAACCAGGAGACATGCTGGAGTTGATATTCCACTGCTGCCCATCCCTGGCCGCTCAGTGTCCACTAAGCCACAGAACAGAGATCAGAAACACTGCCACACTGCTGCCAAGATCTTAAAGGTCTTCATGACTCCAGTTGGCAAAAGAGCCTGTACAGCTGACACTTCTAATTCTCACTTCTACCTTACCAGTCTAGGTGAGAAACCCATTGACATTTGAGATGCTTTTCGGGCCACATATTAAGTTCCGATTTAAGGACTCCTTCTAGGCTGTTTATTTTGTTCTGTTGGTTAGTCTGTCTCTTAATGCTTGTGCTACGTCTGTACTTCTTAATTATTTAGATTTCAGTTTTAACCCATGCCCAGTAATCTCAGAAAGGATTCTCAAAAAATAAGAATTAGATTTTCCTAGTATAAACATTTGCCTTCTCCAGTTCAGGCCTTTTCCAGCGTGAGACTATTTTATCTAGAATTGATCATTTCTTTGACTCTAAATACAGCCCTTTCCTGACCTGGGTAGCATGGTGAAAAGCAGGTCTTTCCTTACTTGATTTTGCAGTAAGAACTGAAGACATACATCTCTGATTTTTAACAAATAGCTTGAACTCTTCACCAGTTTTAAGATTTACCTTCTGGGGCTGAATGGTGGAGAGATGAGGGAGAAATCAGATTATTTTCATTGTGTAACCTTCTATGTCATATGCATGCATTACCTGCTCAAAAGAACAATTAAAACCATTTTTTTAACAATTATCCTTAAAAAGGGTGAACATGTGTATATATCCTTTTGATTGCTGCTGGGAATCTTTGTCAAGGCAGGGAAGGTTAGGCTTTTTTTCCTCCTCTCTTTGAATATCAACACCAGAACTAGATTTGGTCTAGGGTGGTAGTGATTTCTTCACCTTATGTGTTCCCACAGCAGGTGTGTTGCCACCAGACTGATTACTGGCAGTTTGTGAAGGACATCCGCTGGCTCAGTCCCCACTCAGCCCTTCATGTGGAGAAGGTAAGAAGGGAAAAGTAACCACAAGGCTTTGTTGTTTGATGTTCTGTCTGAAGAGTCTCCTAGGCTAGAAGGATGGTGTGTGTCAAGTTTCCTATTAACTGAGGAAATTATTTCCTGTAGGACTAATTTGGAGGGGAGGATTATTTGCTTTTAAAAATAAACCATGTTAAACCCATTGCTCCAGGCTACTTTCTGTCCTCTGGGGAAGGGGTGAAAAAGTTTTGTTATTTTCAAAAGATCTGCATATTAGGACCAGAATGAAGCTGTTCAAAATCCTCGGAAAATGTCAAGAGGTTCCCTGAAGTGGTTGGAGAAGTAGGACTGAATGCTTATTAGTTCAATATAGTACCTCTGATTTCCAGTCAGGGAAACAGCTCATGGAGGTTAGTGACTTGGCCAAAGTTACACAGCTAGTTCCAGATCAGTCACTGCCAAATGTATGTATCTATTTATTTAACTCTTCATTATGGAAGATTTCAAATATATACAAAATTAAAGAGAATAGTGTAATGAACCCTGAAATATCTATCACCTGTCTTCAATACTTGTCAATATCTGGCTAGTTTTGTTTTATGTATATCCCACCCACTGCCAGGTTCATTGCTGAGATGATGTCAGGAAAAGTAATTTGTTTTTAAATGATCAGGAAACCAAATCATAAGGTGCCAGACTGGCCTTTTTTGTGAGAAAAATCCAGAGCCCAGTGGTTTTCTTACATAGACTCTCTTTGTCCTTCTCACATAATTTTTCTTACCACCACTCCCCTTCACCTCCAACTAACTTCCTTTTCTAAACTATATTGCTGTAGTTGTTTCTTCTTAGAAGCTGCCTATGAGACCTTGCTTTTAGAAACAGCCAAGTAGAAGGAGGTTCCAGATAGAGAATGCTATGACTAGAGCCAAAACGAGATGCTCAGATGGCTTCTCTTTGGTGGAGAATCTTTGGTGGCATCTTCCCAGATCCTTTCCCCCAGGGTTTTTGTTGCATTGTTTTCTGGAGACCAGCTGAAATAGAGGACTCTGTGAGAGAAGCCAAGAGGTCAAGTTTATCCTTCCTCTCAGTACCACAGGCTAGATGTCTCTTTGGAGCTGGAACATAAAGAGACCGAGGTAGCAGTGTTTTCCTCTCCTAGAGCTGCGTATCAGGTCTTAGCTGCTTCGTTCTTCTCCAGTGGTCTAGGCCAGCAGTGGGGCCACTAATCCCCCCTCCCCTCTCCTTCCTCAGTAACCTCTAGATGCTACCTGGAGGAAAAACCCCCTCTGATCGCTTCCTCTTCCTGTCTTCATTTAGTTCTCGGGTCCTTAGGCGTCAGTCTTGCGGTCTTTACCAGGATGCGTGTTTTGACCCATGCCTCCTTGCCTCACAGTTCATCAGCCTGCACGAGAATGGCGAGAGCAGCACCGATGGCATGAGCGAGCATGCTGTTGCCAAGTTGTGGCTGCAGCATAGCTTGCAGTGCCACTGTCTTTCCGCCCAGCTCCGGCCTCTGCTCGGGGACAGGCAGTATATCAGAAAATTCTACACAGGTAGGTGGAGGTCACTTAGCCAGGATTGTTGCATATAATTCTTCATCTCTTCCACTTCACTGTCCCTTTATAGACTCTCACCCTGGGGCCCCAGACTTCCACTCGGTGCCATAGAGATTCTAATCCAAAGCATGTGTCCAGTCTTCTTTATGAGTAAAACACGGTCCGACTTGATGCTAAGGTCTTCCCCTACTCCCATGGGTACAAACCAATAAAAATAACCACCGTTTACTGAGAATTTCTTATGTGCCAGTCACTGTTATGTACTGTTTATACATATACTCTTCCCAACAGCCCTGAGAGCCGGGTATTAATACCCCTGTTTTCCAATCGGGGAAGCAGAGCCCAGGGAGGCCAAGTCACCTCCAGCCAGGATTCAAATCTGGGACTCTGGGACTTTGAAGCCTCTTGTCACAGCCTCTCTATTATACTGCGCATTACCTAGCCTCTCCTATACTTACATGTCCCTGATTCCTCTTCTCTCTGCAGTGGCATGATTCTCCCCAAGTCATTTTCACTTTTTGTCTCTTTCCTTCCCTGAGCCTCTCCCAGGCTGTGCAGGGAAGCCAGAGATCTCCCTGTTGGGCTCCATCGCAGCAGTAGCATTTCTCTCCCCAGATACTGCTTTCTTGCTAAGCAACGCCCACGTCACGGCCATGCTCCAGTGCCTGGAAGCAGTGGAACAGAACAACCCCCGCCTCCTGGCTCAGATTGATGCATCTATGGTAAGGGGGCAAGGAATGATCTGTGTCTGTGCTGGGCCCCTGGACCTCACCATGATATAACCCTCGGTAGCTGACTGCTTCTTTGTTTAGGCAGTTGTGAACTGAAAGGCTTTCATTAAAAAAGAAAAAATACTTGGAGAAGAAGGGGAGGTACCATTAAGTATCTATTGAAGTAAAAAGTCTAAGCTTAAGGTCTATTTAAGGAGGGAGGTGTCTATTTTTTTTTTAAGATTTTATTTATTTGACAGAGAGAGACACAGGCGAGAGAGGGAACACAAGTGGGGGGGAGTGGGAGAGGGAGAAGCAGGCTTCCCTCTGAGCAGGGAGCCCGATGCCAGGCTCGATCCCAGGACCCTGGGATCATGACCTGAGCCGAAGGCAGATGCTTAACGACTGAGCACCCAGGTGCCCCGGAAGGTGTCTGTATTTTAAATCCCTTTTTAAAATCCATAGTCTGAGTAAGCTTTTCCTTAAGGGTAGGCTTGACAAGCTGGGGGGAAGAGGATGATTTTGAATCAGGAGTAGGACTTACAGTGCCATACCTAGTATGACCTAGTGTGACACAGGATCATTTTCGTCCTTGAAGTATAAAGAAAATTTAGTTGCTTGATATTGCTTATTGTTAACCCTCCAATTCACTCACCCCATCACTAATATCAGTTCCTCAGCTAGAATGGAGTCACAGTCCCTCTCCTTTTCAGGAGAGATCCCCTATCTCTCTTGGTTTTTAAATTTTGATTCTTAGTTACCACCTATTAAATACTTTCTATGTGCCAGGCTTGGTGCTAGGCACAATACATGCATCATCTCATTTAATTCTCACAGCTCTGTAAAGTAGACATCAGTCGTGTTTTATAAAGGAAGCCAACTGAGGGACAGAGTAGGTAAGTCACTTGCTCCAAGTTTGTAAGTGGTAGGGTCCGAATATGAATACTGATCTATCTGATTTCTGACTATGTGCACAGTCTTAAGAACATTGTTGTACTACCTCTATGATAAAGCGCTCCTAGTGTCCCAGCTAGGATTCCAGTTTCAGAAGCTGTGGTGTATGACAGGACTTCAAGGTTTCAAAATTGTATGCTTTAATAGAGCAGTAGAGCTGTATGCCGTATCTATGGGTCCTGGCTGCGGTTCCAAGCCTGCTGCCAAAGGTCCACTTCTCCTAGCATTTCTATAATGCCGAATGTTCCTCCTCTGAGGTCCTCTGTCCTCAGCTCTGACACATGTTTGTTTTGTAGTTTGCCAGAAAGCATGAGAGCCCGTTGCTGGTAACCAAGAGCCAGAGCCTGACAGCTCTGCCTGGATCCACATACACCCCTTCAACCAGCTATGCTCAGCATTCCTACTTTGGGTCCTTCTCTAGCCTCCACCAGTCCGTACCTAACCACGGCTCAGGTATGGGGACAGGAAGGGGGGTAGTCATGACACGTATGCCCAGCCCTGGAAAGTAGGGGACTTTGTGGGTGCACACAGGAGGGTATAGATAGAGCCATGGGTTGGTGCAGTTTGTCAAATTTCATGTCTTAATAATGGACATCTTAAAAAATTGTCTAGTAACTAGCCTAAGATAATTCAGCAGAATCATGGAAGTAATAGAGGAAAGAGAGATGTTTTTAGATTGCCCTGGATTTCTAATCCATATTGCCAAGAAGACATTTGAATAATAATAGTTAACACTTATTGAGGGCCTGCCATGTGCCAGGCTCTGTTATAATCAGTTCATACATATTACTTCATTTGATCCTCAGAACAGTCCTGTGCAGTAGGTATTGTTATTATTGCTCATTTTACAGATGAGAAATGTATACTAGTAAGTGATGAAGCCACTGTGTCAAGAGCCCACGCTCTTACCTTACCTTACCCGGCTTACCTGCTTCTAAGCAATTTTTGCTTACTTCACATGGCGTACCTTTTCTGAGGTGACACCATATGTCCCGGGCACCCAGTAATGATAGGGAATTTGGTCATTAGTTGTAGAGAAGCCCTTCATAGGTACCAAAGATTTCCAGCTCACCTTTTTCTCCTCTTTTTATACCCTAGAAAGAAGATCTACTTCCTTTTCACTCTCTGGCCCTCCCCCAAAACCTCAAGAGAGCAGAGAGCACATCTCACCAGCGCAGGATCAAGTCTTCCAAGCTCCCCTGCTTCCAGTCTCGGCATTAGCCAGGGAAACCCCCTCAACCCCAAACGAGATGAGCTCTAGCACTCTGACCAGTCCGCTAGAGGCATCCTGGGTCAGCAGCCAGAATGATTCCCCCAGTGATGCCAGCGAGGGGCCCGAGTACTTGGCCATTGGCAGCCGGGACCCCCGAGGCCGGCCTGCCAGCTGTCAGAGCCACAGCAGCAAAGCTGAGAGCAGCGCCTCCACCTCATTCTCCTCCAGCGGCTCGCAGAAGCTGGCTTCTGCCGCTTCTCCCCAAGGCGAGCAGGAGGGAGGCGGGCAGGGCCAGCTGTCCAGCAGCCTTCGCAGGTCCAGCTTCTCGGAGGGGCAGACCCTCACTGCCACCGGTGGAACAAAGAAGAGCCATACTCGCTCCCATTCAGATACCAACATTGCCTCCAGAGGAGCCCCAGGTAATGACAGTCACCAGCCCCTACTTAGCAAGTTATGTGTCTGATGACCTGATGGGGTATCCTGCTTATGAAAGAGGGAAGCTTACAGTGTAATATGAATACCCAGGAAATCTCTCTGAGAGTATTTATGTTTGTTCCTTTATACATTGCCAAATAGTAAATGTTTTCCTGGATTCTTTCAGCAGTTCCTTAGCATCAGAGGATAGTGTGACTAGTCACAGTTTGTTTTTAATGTTTCTCTCAGAGGGGAAATACTCATGAACTTTGAAAATAACCCCATTAAATTCCTCCCCTTTCTGTGATTCCTGACAAGTGTGGTCGGGTGTAATACCAGTATGAGAGAGGCAAAGTGATATTGGGGTTTCCTCATTAAAACTAGGATATATGAGTGTGGGATGATGTGACCTAGGAAACCAGTAGGGGGGGCTGACCGCTGCATCACTAATTCAGGGTGCCAGGCAGCCCAGTAAGGAGGCCCTGGCCACTGAGCCCTCCCCCACAGAAACCCCAGCTGCTAGCAGAGGGCACCCTTGGCATGGGAGAGGTGGGGCTCGTTGCTTTTGCCATCTCCCTGCCGTCTTCTGTCATGGGTTGTTAGTTCTGGCAGGCTTTGGTTGGGTTTCGTTTGTAGGAGAACCTCCATAACAGCAGGTATAACATGGATCTCTGCGCTCAAAGCTGGTTCTGGGTAGGAAAGCCCCAGAAATAAAATATAAAAAATTTTAAAAAAAAGAAAAGAAGATGATTTCCTTTAGCAACTGGAGCTGCCATTGATTTCTCATTGTAATTTCTAGAAAGGTGAGAGCTGACGCCCTCATCTGAAACTTCTGAGTGACAAACTTGTTTCTGTTTTCTACTGAAGATGTGGTTTGCCTGATTGGAACTCTCTAGGAAAAAAAAAATCTCCAAATCAAAGCCTGTCTTCCCACAAGCTTTCTTAGATGTGAAGAGTACATGGGTTAGCTCCTCACTTCACATCTGCTGCAGGCCTGCTGTCTGCTGTAGTCCAGGCCACTGGTCTTTGAGCATGGAAAACTTCCCTGCCCCCATTCTTGAATCCACATGGATTCCAGAAACCACGGTAACCTGCGTTGGAAAGGGGAGCCAGAGAAAACCTAAGCAAAAGGGTCTGAGGGAGAGGGGGTCGTGTGTAGCTTCTCGTATGAGTCAGCTACCCTGGTTCAGTAGCTGAGTACTTCAGCACTGGGGTTCCCTCCTGGGAGTTAAGTCCCCACCTCTGCTAGATGAAAGGACACTCTTTTTCTCACTCTGTTCTCATTTCCTCTGTTTGGACTCTCCTCTGCACCTGTCTGTCTACGTACAGGAGGCCCCAGGAATATCACCATTATAGTTGAAGATCCCATTGCAGGTTTGGGAGCCAGTCCTTTCTGTCTGCCGCCTCCTCCTTCTCTGTGACCATCTTGCTTAGTTCAGAACCTCCTTTTCCATTCTGGTGTCAAATCAAGTCTGGCTAGGTTGGCTAATCCTGCTGTGATTCTTAGACCTGTCTCTAAAATGGCACCGATATTTTGCATCCTGTGTTTTCTATCCATGACTTCCAGATGCCTCATTTAGTCTCCCAAGAGCTTCTGGGAGGCAGAGTCAAGATTTATCGATCCTGTTTTGCCTAACGGTGAACCTGAAGCCCACTATTTTTCTAAGGCATCATGATGAATCAGTGGCAGAATTTTTTTTTTTTATAACTGAGTACTTACTATGGATTACTTTATTTTCCTTGAATTAACACCAGAATGTATTTTTTTCCCCTTTCTGTGGTCTCGGATGTGAATGCATGTTTTCTGCCTCTCCCAGAGTCCCGTTTCCTTTTTCTTTCGCCTAACTTCCTTCCTCTATAAGTCCCATCCCACCCCCATTCCAGTCATTCACAGGCTTTTTCTTAAGTCTGTGACTTAAGTCTGTTTCTTTGGTTTTCATGGTGGTGTTCAAATGAAATGTGTTCACTTCTGGGTTCATGGCAGTATTAGTAGTAGAATGTGTCTGCACGACTGAGTGGGGAAGGAGGACTGAATGCTATGGCCTCCTGGGCAAGCCACTGAGTATGTTAGCTTGGAAAAGGGAAGGTTAAAGAGGAGGGAGTTGACAGGACCACTGTTTGGAAGAGCATTGTTATTCTTAAGGAGATGAGAAATTGTAAGAAGACTCAAGTGAGTGTGAGGAAATCTAAGCAGTAGAGCCGTTCATTTGAATGGGCAGCGTCCGGAGGTAGTTAGCTCAGGAAGCAAAGGCTGGGTGGATGGCCTTTACGTGTTGTAAAGGAAGAGGGGGCTGGTGTTGGAGTTTGTGTTGTGCACTAAATTTGACTGGGGACCTCAAAGATCCCCTCCAAATCATAGTTTCTTACCAAGGCATCGTGGTGACTGCTGGTTTGTCTATAGTTCATTACTGAGGAGGAGAGCCCACTGGCAGGACCAGCAGAAATCTTGGAGACCCAAGGAAAACACAAAGTTATCTCTTACCACATAGTAGCATTTTTTCAATGAGAGGAGCGGCTGACAAGCTGGCACCATGTGTGGGGGATATGGGTCGGATGCCGCTCAGTCATCCACTCTACAGAGCATCCTGCTCATTTCCCAGGCACCCGCCTGCTTTTGTGCCTGCTCTTCCTTCGGTAGCACTGGGAATTTTGTGTTTTCCTTTGGAGAATATCAGTTTCTCATTTCTTGCGAGCCCTGCCTGCTGCTATTTCTCTACTCCTAACTCTCACTGTTCCTTGAAAACTTCTACCCAGCCACTTCCTACTTTGCCAGGCTTCTCTTGAAACCTCTCCCTTCCTTCTCCAGGAAGGCTGGGTGTGAGCCCTGTGGCTGAGCCCTTTGGATATAGGGCCATCGTCCTTGGCTTCTCGAGCATTGTCTTGATGCTTCTTTTAAGGAAATTGCTGGATTTTATTTTGTTTTTCACCTAATTGAGAAGCAAGTTAAATATGTAGGTATGACACATTTCAGGTTCAGTGTAACCATTCTGAGATTGTTTAAAAGCCCAGTGTCAAGGTATCAGAAGAGTTTCAGTGTGCCTATCCTTGTTTTACCATGTGCGGGCTGTTTTCTACATTGGTTCTTGTCAAGAGGATGGAAATATTGGCCAATATTCTTAGAACATTTGGTAAGAAGATGGAAGAAAAAAGAACTAAATTCATGAGTCCATTTTGATTTGATTCTTTTTCACGTTTGTGTTGCTGCATTCGGGGTCATGTTTTCTCTTTTCCTCTCAGACTATACCGACTCCCCATCTCCTTTCCTCCATGTGTTCCTGCATTCTTGGACTGTTCCCCGTTGGTGTGCCACCTCTCTCCTGCTTGGGAGGGCATTGGGAATGGGAGCAGTTAAATGTGGAAACTCCAAAGTTGGGAATGTATGTGTTGCTCATCTCGTATGTGTGTTTTTACTCCCTGGTGGTCACTGACACTAGAATCCTGCAATGATAAGTCGAAGTTGAGAGGCCCCTTGCCCTACTCTGGCCCAAGCAGTGAAGTCAGCACACCCAGCTCTCTGTACATGGAGTATGGTGAGTACTAGGAAGGCCAGGGCTGCAGCTGTGTCCTTCCTCTGCTCTCCCCTTGTGCCTGCTAAGCTCTGAGCTGTCTGGCTCACGTCGGCTCCGTGGAGGGTACACACCATACGGTCTCACCCTTCCTTTCATCATTTACAGCCCCCATGCTAGAAATCACACAGTCCCGCCATTTCTTTTGCTCCTTTCTGACTTAGGGGTCCCACCCTCTCTTACACTGTGGGTGTTATCACCATGACTGTCTGTCGCTGCAGATGGAATGGCTCTCTGAGTGGGTGAGAGGGACCTTGAAAAGAAGCCTTTGAGTGTCGAGGCTGAATTACCAGAAGATAAGCTACACATGGAAATCATCCACAGGAGGAAGCTATTTGTTCCCTTGTCTGATTCTCAGCACAGGTTTTTTGTTTCCTTTTTTGTAGGGTAGGAGGGCAAGTATGTCATCTTTAAATTTTGATGGTGAAAGGATTGTCTCTGGGCTCTCTTCATTTATCCTGTTCTTTAACCAAGAGGCTTAGTGCTCAGGGATTCTGAGATTCAGAGAAATTCCTTTAGAAGGTAGACATCTTCTTTCCAACCTGTTACCTAGGAGAACTTGGGAGTGTCTCTAGTGGTAAAATCATCCGACTTCTCAAGAAGGTTGTCTGTTACAGATTTGCTTTCCAAGTCAGAGCTTTTCACATCCACATTCTGTTTTCCCATAGAGGGTGGTCAGTTCCTGTGCTCGGGGGAGGGCATGTTCCGAAGACCATCGGAAGGACAGTCCCTCATCAGCTACCTGTCTGAGCAAGACTTTGGAAGCTGTGCAGACCTAGAAAAGGTGAGGAATCTAAGGGGCTACTGAAGAGCTCATGAGTTGGGACATCTGGCCTGAGGGTCTGTGGGGCCATTTGTTCTAAAGAGGTTTTGGGTACACAGCAGGAGCATGAGCAAAGACCATGGGTGAAAGTAAGTTCAGAGTAAAGATAAGCTCAACAAGTTCAATCTCTAGAGAACTTTTCAGGGAGTATCTTCTCCTCACTGAGTCCAAAATATTAATGGTTTTGTGTTAGAAGCTGCCTTGGGCACAGAAGTATTGCATTTTAGCCACATCATTATTGTTTCCTTGACCCTGGAACCTTAGGTAAAAGCTATTTCCAGAATCAACTTCTATACTTTGTTCTAAGGCTCAGATATGTAATAAATAATGTCCCTATAGCATTTAGAGCTTACATTTACCTTAATGCTTTGTCTACAGGGTTATCTGTATATCCCTATAGGTATCAGGTAAGACCCTGATATTAAATTCTGGACTTCCTCTCTATCATAGTTTTATGTAGAAAGTGGGACAGGAAGGCCAGGCATGGCAGGTTTGAGGGCAAAGAGGATATAGAACAGTTTTTTTGGCCATCAGCTTTTCTTAGAGCAGAAGTGTTCGTTTCCCTGAGTGTTTTGAATGAAAGCAGTGCACGTCTTAGAAGCTCTACTTTCCAGCAATCAGTGAGGGGTTCAACACATCTATCCCCTCGCGAGTCAACTTCTTTGGTACCCTCCTTCCCCCAGGAGAACGCCCACTTCAGCATCTCAGAGTCCTTGATTGCTGCCATTGAGCTCATGAAGTGCAACATGATGAGCCAGTGCCTAGAAGAGGAGGAAGAAGAAGAGGAAGACAGCGATAGAGAGATCCAGGAACTGAAGCAGAAGATCCGCCTGCGTCGCCAGCAGATCCGCACCAAGAACCTGCTCCCCGGGTACCAGGAGGCTGAGCACGGAAGTGAGTGGGGCTGCAAGCACCTCAGTAACGCTTTTGCAGGGCTTCAGGAGAAGACTTGGTGCCTCGGGCACCTCCTTTATTGTCTCACTTTGAGATGAAGCCAAGGGCTCCTCCGCTGTCAGAAAGATTTTTTTATGTTCTAATTTTTTTCCTACCAGACCCAGAGTCCTAGAGTTCATCCATTTCTTCCCTCAGAAATAGCTTCCAAAAAATAGGTTTCTGGCGTGAGAACTAAGACTGCTGGTCCCAGCGTCACTTCCCAGATAGTAGTACCTTCTGTTTATGTGAAACTTTCAAAATTTCGTGAATAAAATGGGGAACAACCAGCAAGAAGAGCTAGTTTCCATTCCCCCCAGCATCACTCCGAGCCAAGGTTCTGTTTACTTTGCTGTTGAAGTCCTACCAGGTCCCTTTCATTGTGACCCTAAGAGTAGGTGACCTCTTTCTGTCCTGCTTATTACCTTTCTTTTTCTTTTTTTTTCTTTCTAAACATAGCAGGTTTTCGGGTCACTTCTAGCAGCTCCCAGTTTAGTTCACATGATTCAACACAGTTCTCTGACTCTGGCTCTGCTGACGAGGTTGATGAATTTGAAATCCAAGGTAAGGAGCGACACTATTTCAGTCCACTTTCATTACCTGTTTCTTTCAGTTTGAAGTCATAGACTGAGAAGCTTTCCCTAAGTATAGAGAATCTTCAATATGGTCCATTTTGGAACGTTGTCAGTAATTGTAAGAGGCGGCCTCTCTTGCTAAAAACAAAACCCCGTTAGTAAAATTTAAGCAGAAAAGAACACTGAAAGGAATTGCTTCAGAGTGGTCTGGCTGCTGAAGTCACATGGATGGGTCTCAATTGCACCTTTCTCTTAGATTTCACTCGAGTTCCTCCTGCTCACAGCCTAGGACTGGCCCATACCTGCTTGAAGTTAGAATCCTATTCTCTTGTGTTCCATAACACACTCAGAATTGTTTCAAAGTGTTTAAAAGGAGCTTTGTTATAATCCTAAGAGAAAAGGACAAAAAGAGTCATTTGGGGGGAAAAGCAAAACAGGGAAAAAAAATGAAGTTTACAAAGTAGAGCTTTATTCTGTTCTATCCGTGTTCACTTGCTTAGCAGAGTCCCAGACCCTCGTTGTCGTCATTGTTGTTGTAAGCATTTACACAGAGAAGGGGAGGGGCTCTAATCTGGGAAGGCAGTTGTGTTAAATCAGGTTACCCCATGATTAACGGATTAATCCATTCCTGCACATCATAGATTTCTTCAAGTCCCCATCAGTGCAGCAAACAAACCAAAAAGCAGTTCTGGGACATAAGCTTTCCCCCACAAGTTATTTTCTTATAGAGGTGAATTGTATCTGTAATTCTCCATTGTAAGATGATGAAGAATAGATCTTTTCTTATAGATCTGTTTATATCAATCTAGAGAATTGATGTAATTCACTTTTCACCTGCACAGACCTCCAATAGTAATCGAAACCTGGTGCTAGCTGGATTTCTTCCCCATTCAGAAATACAATTTTTACACATATTTTTCCAGGTCTCTAGGACATCTTCCTTCTTTGTTCTCTTTAATATATCTGATTTCTATTCACGGCAATAATTGCCAATGGGTTTTAACCCATTTTTTTGGTTTGTTTGTATGTGGTTTTCCAACAACATTTCTCCAGTTCTCTGACACCAACTGAGTATCTTGACAATTCAATTCTGACATTAACTCCTGGAGTTAGCATAGACCCCACAGGTTAAGGGCTCAATACCACAGGATGCTCCCATTGGAGATGTCAACCACAAATGGGGTCACCAGGTTACCTGCTCTTCTCCCCAACCAACTACAAATTCAGGGGATTCCCATGACCGCCCCCCCCAACTCAGATTCCATAATTTGCTAGAATGACTTACAGAACTCAGGAAAACACTACACTTAAGATTACCATTTACTGTAAAGGATACAAATGAACAGTCACATGAAGAGGTACTTAGGGTAAGGTCCCAAAGTTTCCTGAGCCCAGGAACCTCTGTGTCCATGCACTCAGGGTGGGCTATCCTGCCAGTATGTTAGTATGTTCACCAACCAGGTAGCTCTCCAAACCTCACCATTATAAGTGTTTTATCAAGGTTTCATTTCATAGGTAGGCATGAGTGCTTAAATCATTGGCCATTGGTGATGGAACTTAATCTGCAGTCCCTCTCCCTTTTTGGGTGATAGGGGGAGGGGCTAAAATTTCTAATCCTCTAATCTGGTGGTTGGTTTTTCTTCTAGCAACCAGCCCCATCCTGAAGTTATCTGGATGCTCCCTAAGCGTCACCTCATTAGGTGACTCAGATATAACAGAAAGGGACTCTTCATGAGTAACAAAAGACAGTCCTATCACTCTGGAAATTGCAAAGGTTTTAGGAGCTCTATGCCCAAAACTAGGCAGAGACCAACTATCGTTTATTATACCACAATCTGATTGACTTGATCTTCAAATTAGAAGAAAATAAAAGGGTTCCGCCCTATCTCTCGGATCAACAGAATTTCATGAGGGTAATATTAAGGTAAATTCAAATCACTGCTTCATTGGGTGTGGAGCAGTCCACTTGACTACTAAGTGTTCCTTGCAGCAAAGCAAGGAGCCAGGGGAAGCTGTTCAGTCTGGAAGGAGCCAAATCTGAAATAGCCTGCCTGGCGGTAGCATGAAATGCATTCCTAGGGGAAGCTGTTCTTGCATTTGTGGCCCCAGAGGAGTTGTTTAGTCTACTAACTCTAGTCAGCTCAGGATGGAAATCGTTAAAGGAAAAGACCTTAGGGGGAGGGTTTCTCAACCACTAGGCCAGGTAATTCTTTGTTGTAACAGACTGTCCAATGCATTGTAGAATGTTTAGCTTCTTCCTCAGCCTCTTACCCAAATATCTACAAGGGTGCAAAATCTCCCCTCGTTGAGAACCACTACCTTTGAGGTCTTTAAGGCCAGGCTGGGTTGGGGAAGCAGCAGTAACTATGTCCCAAGACATATTGAGTACCTGCCTATGGATGTAACGTCCTAAAAGTGGTTCATCTTTTGGAGCAAAGTCAAGTCCTGATTCCAGGAACATATGGTATAGAATTGTCATTCTCATCGATTTACCTCCTATGTGAATACTAAAGGGCCCCCTTTTATAATCATTATCACAGATGGTAGCGAAGGATCTAACCTGACTCACATGTCAAAGAACGGACTCTCAGTGTCAATGGCCTCGATGTTTTCAGGTAGCCTGTGTTGGAAGTGTGGGTGCGCTCGTACATGCATGTGTGTGAATGTTTGCATCAGCTTTTGTACATTCTGTATCTTGTGACACCTGTCTATAAGGTTTAGAGAACTAGTTGGGAAAAACCAGACTTGAACCAGCAAAGAACATTTCAGATACTCATTTTCTTCTTCATATGACCCCCAAACAATCCTCCTCGCCGAGATTGTCCTTGTTGGCCCTTCCCTCCAGTGATATTTATAGACTGAGTGGTCACTGTGGCTGATGGAGGTAGCAGACAGTTTAGAAAGCAGTGGTCAGGTGAAGAGATTTTAGTTCAAACTAATAGCTAAGCTACTGCTACACGTTCAGACAGCAGAAGTCAGATAGAATGGTGTGAAAGCATAGTGTGTCTTTAGAGTTTTGAACTTGCAGAGTCAGTCTGCAGAAAGCTAGCTCTTCTTGGAATTTTGTATACCATTAGGATTTACTGCAGCAACTGTTTGGCCTTAGTAATTGCTTTATGATTCAAACCAGTAGGCTTTCTGTAGGGGGGGTTAACTGAAAGTAGCGATTTTCTACTCAAAGTGGCTTTAAAACACACACCAGCAAAACTCAGGACTTAACAGTTCATTTTAACTGTTAATGGTGTCAGCCACTAGAATTTGAAATACTTATATAAGATTAGCTAAAGATTTGAAGAAATAAAAGTATTTAGGTTCCTTTTTCTCTATTCCCAAACAGTTGTAATTTATTCTAACATCGTCTTCCCTTGCTTGAGATGTAATTATCCTATCACTTTTAACTGGTTTCTTATGTGTTTACAACCACAATCCTTTTGCGGGTACATTTATTGACTGCCAGCCATTTGTCTGTCAGAGCATATCCAGTTTGCCTTAACCATAAGGCAGACTTTTATTTGGTCTCGCTGGCATCTTTTCTTCCCCCATTTTGGGAGCTTTAAATTTTTTTATACATTTTTATACATTTATACATTTTATATATGTATATGAAACATTTTTCAACTAAAAAACTGCTTTTTCTTGTGACCCACAATCCTAGCACGTTTTGGGAGTTAGAGGGAAAGCAATCAGAACAAGTCCTCTCAAAAGTAGTGGCTTGTTTTACCTTCTTTCTACATATAGATTCTTATTTATGAAAGTATAATTTACATTTCATCTTTCTTTACTCTAGACTTCTTTATTGCTTTCTGTTCCTTTTCATCTGTTTCTGGTTTATTAATGGTACAAAATTCTTTCTAAAGAGTGTCATTATAGTTCTCATTAGCGGTCTTCCGATTATATCCAGAGGTTTACAGATGTGTGTCTTTTGATCATCTTAAGTGATTTATGCTCTTGAAGAACCTCAGAATACTATCAGAGGAAGGTCATTAAAATCTATAACACCCTTGGAAAAATTTAAGTGCTTAAACATCATATTATAGACATCATCTATGATGAATACTCTATATAGTATAATACTCTGCTTGATGTAGTCACATTTCTTAGATCCTGATTTATTGAGTAGAGCATATGGAACAGAGGTGTTTCTGAAGGAAAAGGATTTAGAAATTACTTCCTCCTAGCAATAAAGTAGTAGATATAAACCTTGTGATCACAGAAAGCTTATTCGTAGAAAGCTTTGTATTCATCAACACCTACTCCTTTCAATAATTTTTAGTAAATTTACCAAGTTGTGCAACCGTCACCATAATCTAGTTTTAGAACATTTTTATCATCCCAATAAGATTACTTGTGCCCATTTACAGTTAATTTCTGTTCCCACCCTGAGTCCCGGTCCACTGCTAATCTGCTTTTGGCCTCTACAGATTTGCCTTTTCTGGACATTTCATATAAATATATCATACAGTATGTCATCTTTTGTGTCTGGCTTCTTTTATTTCATCAGTTCCTTCTGATGGTATCTGCCAGACTGGTGTGAGATCATTCATAAGTTCCCAATCGCAGATTGTCTTTTCAGCTTCTTTAGCTTTATGGTTTTGTTGTTCTCCACCCCTCCTTTCCCTTTTATCACAGATTTATCAATTGTTCTTTATCTTCCTTTGGTGATTCTTCTAGAATTTCAGTCTTCCACATACAGGTATCTAGTCGTGGTCCAATTAGGAAACAGAAACCACAGAGTAATTTGAATAGGGAAAATTTAAAATAAAGAATTATTAACTGTCATGGGGGACTGAAGTAATGGGAGACTGGCTCATAAGGAGTAAAAAGAACTCTAAAGAATACAGGAATAGTAGATATAGGTAGCAGTCAGCATCCCTGGGGCTGAGGTAGAGCACCCAGGAAGGAACAAATGTAGGAGATGGCCACATCCCCAAGGCTGAGATCCAGACCTCCTGGCTCAATAGAGCTGGATACGTTCTCTAAGGCTGCAGAGCTGCCCTAAGAGAATGCCTGGGGATGCTGCTCACAAGTGGTACCATGCCAACAGCGTCAGGAAACCCTTCTGTGGGGTGCTGGCGGGGGCTGCCGCTAGGGAGGGGCTGAGATGCTCAGAACGCAAGAGCTACTGGTAGAGGTGGTTCTTGGGAGGTGCCAGTCCTGTGGCACTTGCCTGAAGCTTTCCCAGGAGGAACCAGGGCAAGCTGTTTGTGAGAAGTACCGCTAGTGGCACTCTGCTGGAAGGCCACCTTCCTGGAGGTGTGCTTCCTCAGGGGAAGTCACATGCCCTACATACTGGAGTCTGCCTAGAGGAGCACACCAGACTCAGCAAGAGAAACCCCTTCCTCCTCCAGTGTCCCTGCAGTGCCCGCTACTGACAAAGCTTAACATGGTGCTGTCTGGCAGAGGGCCACTGTTTATGAGTCCGGCTCCATCATCATAGAGCAGACAGAAAGGGCAGGTTTGGAGCTGAAAGGCAGAAAATTGATAACTGGGACAATATATAAAGACAGAAGTTCATAAACTGTGTTTTCTGACAAGTGTTTAAATTATGTCCACTTCAAGGTAGTCAGTGGATTCTCCCCACACTGCCCTTTTATATATATTTTTTTCTTTTTTAAAAAGCAGAGTAATTGTGATTCTCCATTTAAAAATGTTTCCTCTGTAATCAGCAGTTACAGAAAATTCACTGGAGTTAGATCTCCAAATGTGTTGGGTATCACCTTATCTGCTAGAAGGAAAGCAGGAAGGAAACCAATGTCAAACTGGTCAGTAAATTCTGAAGTCGACTCTCTTCCTGTGCCTCACTTTGTTTAAAAATTTGCAGATTTTGCTATGGTACCGAGATTTTAACCAGTTCTTCCCTGATCATCCCAATACCAGTGCCTGGACATGCAAAAATTCTTACAGCATGTCATTTTTTTAATTTTTTTTTTTTTGGTTTATTTTTGAATTATTTTCAGTCAGTAGTGATAGCCTTATCTAAAGCATCAGAAGCATTTGAAATCAGTTCTCAGGAAAAAATACTTGCCAAAGAATCAATTAAAAGTTTCATAATGATGTTAACTTCCATCCAACTGAATGGCCTCCTCCTCTCTCTTTACTCATTAATTTTTGTCTTAGACCCTGGTCTACTTTTATCCAGATTCTCAACTAGTATTCCAACCACATTGACTTAATTATATGCTTGAACTGACCAGAGAGTCAGCAGAATGCAGAAGAGGCCCAGTACCCACAGGGCCTTCACGGTACTTGGCCAGTGTCAGGTGGCATGTCTCTTTCGATATCAGGTGCTGCTTCTCCCTCTCTGCTCCGGGGGTGAGATCGTCACAGCCAAACCTGTGTGGTCCTCCACACTCTTGGAAGTATTCATGATTAGCTAGGAAGTCATCGCACCTCTGGTAAAAAAGAGAAAACATGGTAAATATGACTGGACTATGTTTTCCAGAGAGCAGAGAATGATTTTTTTTTTCTCTCAAAGAGAAAATGACTTCTTCTCCACGAGGTTGAAGAACTACTAAATAGTTTTTTGAAGACAATGGTTTCCTTAGCAACCATGAATTATCACCACTTCTCTCTGATGTGCAGGATTTTCTTTAATAGCCTGGGCCTACAGTAGCAACATTGGTTAGCTCTTTATTCAAGGATATCTGTCTAAGATTTTCTCTCATTTTTTTTGTATCACTCCTAACAGGCTGATATTTGCTTTTTGCTTTTAGCCAGTTAATCAGTTATTTAGGAAATATTTTCTGAAAACCTATTATGTACAAAGCAGGGTTATAAGGGCAAGACAAGACTTATGTACAAATCCAAGGCAGTATAAGTGTTATTCATATAAATGCTACAAATCAAATGATCTGTGAAGGTCTACTATTGCCTAGAATTTTTTTTTTCTTCACTAGTACTATTTAGAATGGAATAGGCAACTAACAATGTATTAAGATCTGGATTTTGGTGGTACAAATTCAGACAGAAAATGTGATATATGCGAACTTCTTTGTTAAATAAAATAGAATTTGCTATTTACTAGGCAAAAATTTTGTTGCTGTCTTAAATTTTTCTGTGCTTAGAGAGCATATGAAAATTCATTGACAGGTATCTATTCTGTTCTCCTGCGTATATAGCTTTGAAAACATTGATTTGTTAGGAATATTATTTGAACACACAGAGCCCTGTATTAAGTATTTTGGGCCAAGCAGAAGAATTAGACATGCTCTCATTTCCTCACAAGGACATTTTATGATCTAGTGGCACATACAAAAGTATACAGAGGAAGCGTGAAGAACAATTGAGCTACTTATGGCCAATTGCCAAGTGATGTCATGTAAGCTTTAGTGCTCTGTTGAGGGGCTCAGATGCAGTAGATTGATCATTGTGTAGCTTTAATTAGGAAAGGAATGTCTTTTCAGTGGACGTCAAAGGAAATGAGGGATGAGACTTATCACAACAGTCTTGTTTTCATGACTTGAATCCACTCTGTCTGCCTTTCTTGAACATGAGTGCTCTATTTCACATTTTCCCCATCAAACATATTTGGGAAGACGAGGTCTCCGAAGGTTCAGGCATATCATTATCAGAAATCCTCTTCAAAATCCTTTAGCAGAAATAGGCTTTGGAAAGTATGCTATAGTTTCCTGTAATTTATGCCTGAGAGTTCTATAGAAAAGATCATGTTGAGTATCTCCATGAACATTTGTTGGTTACCAGGCATCTCCAGGGAGCTGCCAAGTCATAGAAAAGTTCTGTTCTTTCCCATTCCACCAGACAGACAGGAAATCTTTCCATGAAGCTTTTATAAGGATATAGAAGACTTTCCACATTCGGAAGCAATAGCAGTAGTAGTCAGGTGTTAGGAGCAAAGCTCCAGTTCCACATAACATTTAATGAGTTACCTCCGTGATCCAAGGGCTGTGTTAAGTCTGATTTTAATACAAAAAAACAGACTAGACAGAGTTCTTACCTCTGAGAGTTTATCATTTAAGAGGGCTTGAGATTTCGAGAACAGGGAGAGATTGGAGTAATTTTTTTGTGTTTCTGCTTGATAGAGGGTGTGTCCCTGTGTGCTGTAGGATGCTTCCTTTTCTCATTCACTGTTTTGCACCAAATCTGAGTTTGTGTTCCCACGTGGATTTGTAGCCATTTTGACCGTCTCCATGCTGTGTATAATGTCACTAATGCAGCCTTATTGTGACTTGAACAGAGCCAAACTATAAATTATGTGTAGAGCTTCAGCTGGTCTCTGCTCCTTATCCTGCATAGAATGTAGCTTGTAGTTGCTACCCTGAGTGCTGAGCTGGCAAAAGCTTGGAATGGTTTCCATTATTACCCCTCACCTCCTCCCTTCCCCTTTCCTGCTCCCCTTATCTCTGGTTTCCATTTAGATGCTGATATCAGAAGGAGCACAGCCTCAAACAGCAAATCCTTCACTTCCTCCCAGTCCTTGTAAGTACTTTTTTTTTCAATAAAACCTTCGGTATGTGGAGAAACAAACCCAGTTCTTGGCATTTGGATGGGAAAAGCCATAGATGAAACATCCACATTCACAAAGAGACAAGGTTAAAGTGATGGGCCTGCCTGATGGTGGCAAGACCCCAGGATCGTTGGTTTAAACGGGGTGGGCTCTGGTGGAGGCAAAGCTCACAGTATGGATTGTTCCTTCTCTGCTGACTCTGATGTTACCGGAGGCCCCCAGAAGGTCAGGTCCGAAAGAGGGAACAGTGATCATGATTTCTGATTATGAAATCTAACTGAACCGGTTTCACATTGTAGATCCAACTAGGGGAAATAATAGCTCGTTTGGGAGCAGCAAATAGTCCTTCATTGTTCACAAGGCAGTTTTACTCCATTTATTTTGTAAACAGCTATTATAACCCCCATTTTGCAATTAAAGAAACTGAAGCTCAGAGAAGGGAAGTGATACAGAATCCTTAACTAGCAGTGCCGTGTAATGCTATTAAGTGGGATTTGAGCCCAAGTCTTCAGACCGTAAGATCAATATATTTTCCCCTCTGCATGTGTCTGAAGATGATGAGGAAAGAAGCCAAGCCGACCAGGGGTGTTGCAAGTGTTCTCAGCCCAGAAGTCACAGGGTATAATATCAGATCCTGGAGGGAAGGCTCCCATCTTCCTGTCTTTTTGCTACGCTCAGCCTTCCTTGAATCTCCTTTCCAGCTCTCACTGCTTCCTTCACTCCACATCTGCGGAGGCAGTGGCCATGGGACTCCTGAAGCAGTTCGAAGGCATGCAGCTCCCAGCTGCCTCAGAGCTAGAATGGCTAGTTCCAGAGCATGATGCCCCTCAGAAGGTAGATTTCGTCAGCTTTTTTTTTCTTTTCTTTTCTTTTTTAAGATTTTATTTGACCGAGAGAGAGAGAGAGAGAGAGAGTACGCACAGGGGGAGCTTGTAGGCAGAGGGAGAGGGAGAAGCAGACTCCCTACTGAGCAGGGAGCCCGATGTGAGACTCAATCCCAGGACCCTGGGATCATGACCTGAGCCGAAGGCAGACACTTGACTGACTGAGCCACCCAGGCGTCCCTCTCCAGCATTTTTTCTTTACCCACTGTCCAGCCTCAGGAGGCTGTGAGCCTTTCTGATGCTGTTCTCCTTTGTCACATGTCCCCCATCTAGAATGAGTGTATATGTTTCCTTCCTTACTCATAGAAGCCATTCATTACAAATGTGTTAAATGAATGAATGAATGCACGAATACATGCTTGCCTGGGTTTTCCCCAGCAATGGTCAAAACAGGAGATGATGGCTCCATCATTCTCCTTATGCCACATGACTGCTTACTAGATCCAGAGCTGGAAGTCCTGTGTTGTGAACACCTTTGAGACGCTGTGAAAAAGTGAACTGTTCATATTCTTCTTTGCTCTACAGTTGCGTATAGCATAGCAGGGGCCCTGGGGTGGGTTCAGGGACAGCATCAGCAACGGTTGCTACCACACTGGAATGCTGTTTCTGTTCCTTTTGCTTCTTGGAACACAAGGCCCTCACTTCTAGTAGCCTTGCGCCTTAGTGGTTTGTTTTGAGGGCCAAGGTTCCTCAAAGCCTTTACCTGAGGTGTTCTTGAAGCATCTTTCATTAACTGTGTTTCTATGACGGCCAAAGGGTCAAGTATGTGCTGCCCCAGACTGTCTGTGTTAGATCCCCCTGTACTTTTCTCCTGCAGCTCCTGCCCATCCCTGACTCACTGCCCATCTCACCAGATGACGGGCAGCACGCTGACATCTACAAGCTGCGGATTCGTGTTCGTGGCAACCTGGAGTGGGCCCCACCCCGGCCCCAGATCATTTTTAATGTTCATCCGGCCCCGACGTGAGTAGCCAGTGTCTGTGTCCTTTGGAAATGGATACATCCTCGGTCGTCGGGGCTGTCTCCTCACATTCTCGTCTCTGCCTCCACCTGCACCTCCCACGCAATCCTGTTCACTTAATGGCAGGGAGAGGGCGCTACCCATCCTGTCACAAGTCTTACTCCTGCTCCTCCTGTTGCTTCCCAGAGCTAACCAGAAGTGAGGTCTTTTATCACTGGCCTTCCCAATTGTTGCCTTCCTCCCAGTGCTTTGTGAGCTTTCTGGTTTTTCCTCTCTTAAGATGGATGGTTGCTTTTCTTTACTCTTGTTCTTTCCTCTGTCCTATTTCTCACCTCTTATAGTTGTACAGGAAGTATGGTTCATTACTGGGGGCTGTCCCTGCCTAGATCTAAATTCTAACCTAGTAATCCTTAGTTTGAACTGGTTCTCGCAATGGGTTCATTTCGTCCAGCTCCTCTAAAACGCAATAGGTGAGCTCCCCCCGCCATCCCCATACTTAACAGGAGCCCTGTGTTTGCCTCCGTATCCTTACATGGCAGAGGCCTCATGTAGCTGGTATCTGCCAAAGCCCTCTCCTTCCCCTCTCCTCAGGAGGAAGATCGCGGTGGCCAAGCAGAATTACCGCTGTGCTGGGTGTGGCATTCGGACTGACCCTGGTGAGCATCTTCTCCCACCCCCATACCGCCTCCAGTGGCTGTACCGTCTCACACACTCAGGAGAGGGGCTGGTCAGAGAGAGTGAGAGGAGGCGACAGAGCAGAACTGGGAAAGGGAAAGAAGGGGCCTGGGCCTGGAGGGTAGGGCTAGGCAAGATCACTGGCACTCAGAGGGAACTTATTTCTGGGGGCACGTCACCAGAGTTGTGTAATGAAGAAGCCAGGTTCTTGGAAGTTGGATCTCACCATCTCTGGCAAAGTTTGCTTCCTCAGTGGCCTTCAGGGAGGGACACACAAACCACAGGCCCCACTCCGTGGGTTTCTGCTAGCTTTGGGAGCTCACATAGAGGTGGAAGGAGTTGGGTGGCCATCTCTTCCTGTTCTTTGGAAAGGAACCAGAGAGCTGCCTCACTGGCTTGTAGATGGGAAAGCCACATCTGACCTATGACTTTCTGGTTTTTCCAGATTATATTAAGCGGCTGCGGTACTGTGAGTACTTGGGCAAGTACTTCTGTCAGTGCTGCCATGAAAATGCTCAGATGGTCATCCCCAGCCGGGTTCTGCGCAAGTGGGACTTCAGCAAGTACTATGTCAGCAATTTCTCCAAGGACCTGCTTATTAAGATCTGGAACGATCCTCTCTTCAATGTGCAGGACATCAACAGTGCCCTCTATAGGAAGGTCAAGCTGCTCAATCAAGTCCGGGTAAGAGCCTTGAAAGGCCACATCCCAGATTCCCCTCCTCATCCCTCATCCCCTCCCTCTGTTCATACAGGCGTTGCCAGGATCACCACACTCTGTCATCATGTCAGAGCTCTAATGGTCTCCTCACTCGTGCTTCCTCTGCATACTTTCTCAGCCTCCTGCCCTTTCCCACCTGTCTGTCTAGTTAGAGCCTCAGACATGACAACGGCAACTCTGAAGCCACAGATGGCACTCAGTGACAAAACCAGGAGTTCTCCCTGCACTGAACATATGCTGCAGGGAAAAGGGCGTATGGGGGTGGGTGGGGGGGGAGATTCAAATGCTGGATTTCTCAATGGCTGTCAGCTGTGTATGTGATTCGGGAGCCCAGCCTAGCAGAGGGGCCCTTCTTGACGGGAGGTCATTTTAAAGCAACTTGTTGAGTTACGGATGTAGAGAACAGTTTGGTTCTGGCTGCTGCTTGCAAAGCTTCTGGACCCCCACAGTATAAGGGTACTGGTCATTCTAATGGTTTTTTTCTCTCCTCTTCATACCTGCTTTTACCCCCCACTCAACCATCACAACGTCTTCTTCTTCAGCTGCTGCGGATCCAGCTGTATCACATGAAGAACATGTTCAAGACATGCCGACTGGCCAAAGAGTAAGTCTTGTGTAGAGGCCAGAGGCCTCTTGCTGAAAGAGAGCATGCCCCAGCAGTTGTCCCTTATTATGTGAAGAGGGGAAGTAGAGAGATTTGCAGAAAACTCCAGAAATGGTAAACGAAAAGCCTACAGCAGTAACTGTGTCTGTATCCTTCTCTCCGGAAGGGGCAATCTCTGGTTATTCTATCCAGGGCAGACCTACCACTCTTTGCAAGCTGGCATGAATCACTGTGCAGAAGGGCATAAAAGTCACTTCTCCTCTCCAGACACCTAGTAGTGTGGAGGGTCTGGGGTGGTCTGGAACACCTAGGCTGGCTGAGTGTTGCCCACCCTCATTGCCTCTGCCTGGGACACTTCTCTTCCCTATCCTGCTTCTGGATGGAGATACTTCTGTTTTGATGTGCCACATAAAGTGTTCATTTCCTACACCTGCTTACTTCCCCTCACTTCCTGTAGGCTTCTGGATTCCTTTGACACAGTTCCAGGCCACCTGACTGAGGATCTCCACCTGTACTCACTGAATGACTTGACTGCAACCAGGAAGGGGGAGTTGGGGCCCCGGCTTGCTGAGCTCACCAGGGCAGGGGCTACCCACGTAGAGAGATGCATGGTGAGATGATCTCCCTCTAGCATGGGACTGGGCTCAGGGATATGGAGAGTGGGGTGGACCTGGGTTCTTGCTGTGCGGTTCCAGGAAGTTGACATGGTCTGTCAGCACTGTGACACAAACTGGGCGGGACTGCTATTCCCTGGGTTGCTGAACGGCTAAATCATTCAGATCTGAAGAACCTGGAATTTGAAGAGGATGTGGTGCTGGCATAGCCCCTGGGTAACAGGCAGAACTGAGCAGCCCTTCACTATAGAATTGTCCAGGGAGAAGAACCCTGAGTGAGAATCTGGGGAGGGTCTCTGCTTTACCGTTTTCAATTGCTGTGACCAAAGGAAATACTTTGCCCTCTCTGCAGTAAGCCTCAATTTTCATGTCTCTAAAATGAAGATAACTTCTTGTCCTTTCCTCTCAGGATTTTTGTGAATTGATGAAATAATTTACGTGAAAGCATTTTGTAAGCTTTGTTCTATAGATGCAAGTGATTATTGTCCTTGATAAACTCAATGTGCCAGAAATTCAGAAGTTCCATTTTTAGAATTTCGCATCTTAGAATATGCCCAGTTTGTGTTCCTGTGACAGTCCCAGAATTAGAGCTTAAAACAGGGCATATGTGGAGATCAGAAAGGCTTCACTCTAACCTGATTCAAGGCTGGGTGTTATTTTGGAGAAATACCCTTGTCTTCACATTTTATCTTAATTGGCTGTGGTTCCTATTTCAAAATAGAAGCATCACCCACACTGGAATTTTGACTTTAGGAAGCCCTTCGTGGCACCATTCCTTCCTTTTCATCTCTGCGTTGCAAACCACTCTTGTGGTTGGAGTTTCTCAAACTCTCTTGTACCCACCTTAATGCTCTGTCTCACACCGCCCAGTCCTGGCCTCAGTTTGGCTCTCATGCTCCCAAGTCCAGCTGGCTCTCTTCCCAGAAGGCGTGAGAACCCCTGAGAGCCCATTCAAGTCTTATTTATATTTTGTTCCTTCCCTCACTTGTGTTCATCCCCTGGTGCCAGTTCCTGGTATGCTGCCCCTGATTTCGCTGCCTGTCCCTTTCCTCCCCAGCTCTGCCAAGCCAAGGGCTTCATCTGTGAGTTCTGTCAGAATGAGGATGACATCATCTTTCCTTTTGAGCTCCATAAGTGCCGGACCTGTGAAGGTAAGGACCGGTGCCGGGTATGGAGTGGGCAAACAAGACTGAAGCCAACGCTAATTTATTTGCCTCAGCCTTCCCTGTTAACAGGAGTTGAGTTTGACTCAGCAACTCCCTGTTTTCAGCCCTGGCACACCAAGCCTTGGTGGCGAGAAGGGGCTGTGGCAGTGACTTACCTCCAGCTTGAGATAATACAGGTTATTCTCTGTTCTCTTTCCAACCTGAATAGAGTGTAAAGCGTGTTACCATAAAGCTTGTTTCAAGTCTGGAAGCTGTCCGCGGTGTGAGCGGCTGCAGGCCCGGCGGGAATTGCTGGCCAAACAGAGCCTGGAGTCTTACATGTCAGACTACGAGGAGGAACCCATGGAAGCCTTGGCCGTAGAGGCCACCGTCCTGGAGGCCACCTGAAGAAAGCACATTAAGCCCTCTTTCCAGGGGCCAGGGTCACACATAATGCAGAACTGAGCCACCCTTTTAAGGACTTTCCCCACTTGTTTTTTTTTTTTTTCTTATTATCATTATTATTATTTTTTAACGACTTGTCTAATGTCCATGTAAATCAACCTTTATTAGGTTGGTGGGGTCCAGTCTGTTATGACAATTTGTAGGTACCGGGTATTTCCATCAGAACTGACACATGAGTCCTTATGTGAAGCTTCTAGTGCCTCTGCCAGGGGAATGGATGGTGAGACCCAATTCTTCTGACGTCCATGGCCTTCTCTACTTGGACCAGATCTGGTTTCAGCTGCATTTCAAGTATCATCTCCAGTTTCATTTTGTTTTAGTTCTGGAGCTTCTGAATCAGGCCTTTCCCAACCAACTCACTTCTCCTTTGCTGCTGAAATAGGAGGATGGAGTTTTCTCTCTCTGCCTTGGAATAGAGTCAGACTGGGCCCTGAGGAGAAGCAGCAGGGAATTGGACTACATCGTGGGCATTCTGTCCAGCTTACGCAGGTAATTTCTGAGGCCATAAAAACAGCATTCTTACCTGGAATCCTTAGAGACCTCAAGGAGGCCACTATGACCTCCTTGTTTGAAATATTCTAGGCATCGACGATGTCACAGACTGACTTTCTTTACCCTGGTGGGCTTGAAGCAAAGCAACAGAACTGACACTTAAGCCAGGCCCCTTCAGAGCCTTCTACCAAGCATAAGTGAGGCTGCAACTTGTTGTTTCAAGGGCATTTATTCGATCAGAGGAGTTGTTGGCCTCCTCTTACGTGATAAGGTCTCTTTTAGTCAACCTAGCTCTGGTGCAGATATGATCTTCCAAGCCCGGGCAAGTTCCTGATGCCATCCTAAGCTGCAGGCAGAAACTCCAGCCACTGTCTAATTTGTGGGTCCCTTGCCACTGTGTCCTCTGTTAGATGGTCATTTTGGTTCTGAGTGAAATTATGGCCGTACTCCATTCTCATCCCCTCCCTGCAACAGAGCTGGGACCCTCCCTGGTGGCTGAACTCTTGCCTTAGTTTCTTTTGTTAAAGTCAGGGTGGGGGCAGGGAGATCTGTGCTATTAGTGGGGTTAGAGAACTTGGCCATTTGTGGGTGTGAGTGTGAGTGTGAATGTGAATGTTCCTATGTTCTTGGGATAACAAGAGCCTTTATGCCTATTAACGCACTGAACTCTGTAGCCTGGTAATATCCATATGTTCATTCTTTTCATGTTACTAATTTTAAGACAAACATACCTTTTCTTAAAATGTGCATTTTGATGGGACCGTGAATATGTTTGTGGTGTTCTTTACGTTGCCGTAGCCCCTGGCCCCTACCTAGAACACTGGTTGGGGTTGCTGTTCTGAGGGCTGGCAGCTCTGTGAACAAGAGCCCACAGCATTTTTTTTCTGGTGATTGACTTCTTACATACGTACGTTTCCATAATTGGTTGCTAGTAGAAAAAACTTGCTGTGGACACTGCCCCAAGAAGCTGAACAGAAAGTAGCACATGGTCGGTGGAAGCTGATGAGTGGCTGAGGGGGAGGCCACCAGGAGTCTCACAGGAAGTAGAAGGGGCAGTAAAATAATGGCCAGAGCTGGGGCTTCACCTGGGCCGGAGGGAGCAGGGAGGAAGTGACCCATGGCACTGGTCTCTCTGCCTCAGACTTAGGATCAGGCCGGAAGACCCTGAGGCTGTTCTCCCTTTAGTTCATGGGGGAGGCTCTGAAAGCCAAGGCCTCCAGCCCAGCCCGGTTTTGAGGGGCTAACTAGGAGCTCCGTTGTCCTCCGTTGGCCCCACACAACTCAAGTCTTACTAAGGGTTAGGCCTCCGATTCAGATTCAGGGGTTTGTAAAAAAATGGTGAGGTGTGTCCAGTTTTGGTATAAATTATACATCTAGCTCCTTACTCTTAAGTCACTACACTGGAGGAGAGATGCACTGTCATTATTGTCCTGCCTGTTTCGTATTAGCAGAGGACCAAAGGATGGAAAATGCTGGCAGTTTCCAAAGTTGAGCTCAACAATCTTACATGCTCCTGGTTTTTCACTTATTTTTCTCTATCTTCCCCACTCCATCTCCTTAGATTGCGTATCTGTTTTAGTGACCCTGACACTCTGCTGTCATCACTGTCCAAATACCCATTTATTTATTTATTTGAGAGGAAAGAGAGAGAGGAAAGAGTATGGGATGTTTGAAAGCACTTTGCAAATTATAGCAGTATCTAAAAACCCCCTGCTGTTGTGGGGAAAAGTTTTGAATGCACTGAAGAGCTTTCCTTCTGAATGAAAAGGGAGGGAAGAAGTGTTCTTTTTTATAAATAAAGGGAAAAAAGTTAAAAGTTTGCTTACAAGGTAGAGACAAGGTTCAAGACATAGCAGAAGAGTGGAAGGCAGATATTTTCCACTTAAATGAGGCTGTTGTTGACTTCTCTGCCAAGGCTTTAGAGCTTTTGCTGAATTAACATAAAGGAGCAAGAGTCTAAAGAGAGATGTTCTGTTCGTGTACAACTCGTGTTCTGAACTGGATTTCTACTCGCTGTAATTCATACATAGCCCAACAGTTTATTGTCATCTTTAATAAACTAAGGAAATGAAATTCCTGCCTTTTATTTGTCTGCCTTGACTATCAGGAAATGGTATTGAGTGTCCACTGTAAAGCAGGCATGTCTGAAAATTCAGGAGGTTTCTGAATTATAATGCAAAGAAGACTGGACCTTCCAAGTCAGGAAAAGTGGGTGTGAGAATGTGTCGTCACTGACTTGCTGTGTGACCTTGAGCAGATCGCTTTGCTTCTCTGGATTTCTGTTTCTTCATCTATCAAAGATATGGGCGCTGGTCATTACCAGTGCCCCCTACCCATCCTCTTGATGTGAATATCTTATTTTAAAGTGAGGTAGGGGTGCCTGGCCGGCTCAGTCGGTGGTACATGCGACTCTTGATCTCGGAGTTGTGGGTTCAAGCCCCACATTGGGTGCAGAGGGTACTTAAAAATTAAAAAAATATATTTAAAAATAAAAGAAAATAAAAATAAAGTGAGGTAAATCTTTCTACAGCATCTGAATTGTATCAGATCCTTTGGTTCTCACTTCTGTGAACAACTTGCTCTGAGTTTCTCTTTTATGCTCTTGGCCCATTGGAGCTCCAGCTTCACCCTGCAACTTTCTGAACATTTCTGCTTTGATGTCCCTTGGTCATCTCCCACTGATATGTCTAAAACCAACATAAATATATTTCCCCAAACCTAACCAGTAGTCACCCCAGCTTGAAAATTTGGTTGTCTTCAACTCCTTCCTCTCTGAGTCAGGTAGCATATTCTGCTAATAAAGTATTATCTCCTTCCTACCACCTGCCATCAAGTTCTGCTCATTTTTCTCTTGAAAATAAATCTACCTTGTTCCTTTTCTATCATTAGCACACAAATTCAGGGGTTTTTTTAATTATTATTTTAAAGATTTTTATTTATTTGACAGAGAGAGAGAAAACGAGAGCAGGAACACAGGCAGGGGGAGTGGGAGAGGGAGAAGCAGGCTTCCCACCAAGCAGGGAGCCCGATGTGGGGCTCGATCGCAGGACCCCAGGATCATGACCTGAGCCGAAGGCAGACGCTTGACGACTGAGCCACCCAGGCGCTCAAAATTCAGGTTCTTATCTTACATCTCAACCATCTCTAGCCATGCCAATCTCTTCCGATTTAATCATCCCATCAAATATTTGGGTACCTGCTGTATGCCAGTTTCTGTGCTAGGCTCTGTGGCTATTGCAGGGAGCAAAGTGGAGGCAATCCCTACCCCTGGGGTGCTTAGAGTCTTGAGGGGGAGGCAGACATTGCCCAAAAGTCACCAAAATGAGTATGTAATTACAAGCTGTAATAAGAGCTATGAAGGAAAAGAGTAGATGTTCCTAAATTAAAAAATAATAATAATAATTTAGATTGGAGACTAGTAATGCCCCTGATGAGGCAGTATAGGGAGAAAAGGGCTCCAGATGAGGACCGGCATATGTGTTGGTGCCGACACAGGAGGGGTTTGGGCAAGGAACTGCAAAAAGAACTGAACTGCAAATTTTAGCTTTTATCCTTAGAACATTGGAAAGCCACCGAAGAGTTTTAGTCAGAGGAGTGACTCATCTGGTTAAAATGTCAGTGTGTACTTTTCAGAGAATAAATAGAGTAAAGCAAGAGTAGAAGCAGTGGGATCTTCTAGAGGGTTGGCTGTAGCGATTCAAGAGAGAAATTATGTTGATTTGGACGAGAGTGTGGAATATTGTCATCACTGTCCGCTCGTCACCCCGGACCTCTGAAAACAAGATGCATTCCAAATGTTCTACAGTGACTCGGGCATTTTAAATCAGTGAAACGAAAGGCTGAGGGGCAAGATATTGGAAAGATACTGGGAGAAATGACAGAACCCAAGAAAATTAGCAACTAAGTCCCAGGAAGTGCAGAGACCAGGACAGCCCTAGGAACACTAGGCTGCAGGATTTGCAAACCCCTTGAGCCTGTTGCCAGTGAGGCAGGCCCAAGAGTAACGACTGTGTTGGGGACTCACCGCAGAGTATTAGGGCACACCACCCCAAAGAAAGGGGAGCTGTGAGTTGGGCAGTCATCCACTGTGGCCTTGACTATGTTATTCATCATTCCCTGTGGCCCCAAGCATGTGTAGATTTGCTATACCCTCTAACAGTATAAAGAGTAGGCATAGTCTTTATAGCATCTTGGTTAAAGTGAGGCCCAAGCCTGCTTCCTTTTTCCTATGAACTTCTGTCTTAGAGTATGGGGAAAAGGGATCACTATGCCCACCCTATCCTGCTGACTCTTCTGCTCTGATCAGCTACAATCTTCTCCCGTATCCAGTCTCCAGGATATCAAACTGCTTGCTTAAAATTTTAGGGATAGCAGCTGCCAGATGGCCCACGCTCACCCATCGCGAGCTTAATGTTCTTGGGATCAAAGACGAATGTGATTAAAAAGGAAAGAGAATCTGCTTAGCACTACTCCTCGAGGGGTCTGGAGAACACGAGCCCGGGTTTTACCTGTGCTCGTCTCCCCCTTTTCTGTGAACTGCTTCTGGAGGCTTTGGAGGGACAGCAGAGACTCAGTCGTTAATTTCCCGTGGATTCTGTCATGAATCATTATCATTACAATGTCTTAATACCAGACCAGCAAGGTGAGGGTTAGTGGGTTAAAATAAATCTTGAGTGATGGCAGGGCTCTTAGGTGGGTGGAGTTTTAG